TGCAGGACATCACTGCGCAAATTGGCTGCCCCGTTCGCCCTCCAAACACACACAGTCACTACGCTTTACAGTGCGAAAGCGCTTCGAGACGTCCGGCCAACGTGAGATGCTCTGTGGCAAATGCAGGAGATGTTGTTGTAACTCGCCCCAGACGGGGGAAGCGAGTCTGTGACTTGGTTAGTGAGACACCCCCAGCACCCAAAACACAGGGAAGAAAGTCACTGTGTGGGTTGTAGTTTTGTGTTTCTTTAAAAAAAGGCAGAAAGAGGGGGAGACACAGAGAGACGGGGGGGGGGGGGGGGGGGGGGACAGATAGAGAGACAGGGTGGGACAGACAGAGAGACAGAAGGGGACAGACAGACAGACAGACAGACAGACAGAGGGGGAGACACAGAGGGGGGACAGACAGAGAGACAGAGGGGGACAGACAGAAAGACGGGGGGGGGACAGACAGACAGACAGAGGGGGAGAGACAGAGTGGGGAGAGACAGAGGGGGACAGACAGAGACAGACAGAGAGACAGGGGGGACAGACAGACGGGGAGACACAGAGAGATGGGGGGGGGAGATGCAGAGAGACAGAGGGGGACAGATAGACAGAAGGGGAGACACAGAGACAGAAGGGGAGAGACAGAGGGAGACAGACAGAGGGGGAGAGACAGAGGGGTAGACACAGACAGACGGAGGGAGTGAGAGTTAAAAACCTTGGGCACAGTTCAGCTGTGCTCCAGATTTGCAGTTGATGATACAATCTGTGGCTCAGGGTGAGGCGCAGCTTCACGTGGAACACTTGGAAGGAATCCAGTTGCCTTGGAGATTGTTTTACTGTATTTATTTACTGGTAACCAGTGGCCCTTCTTCCCTGTAATTCTCTCCTGTGTGTGTGTCTCTCTTTCTGACTGTGTGAGTATCGCTCTCTCTGTCTCTCTCTCTCTTTGTCTGTTTGTTTGTGTGTGTGTGTCTCTCCGTCTCTCTCTGTTTGTCTGTGTGTGTGTGTCTCTCTGTCTCTCTCTCTCTGTCGTCTGTCTGTCTGTCTGTCTGTCTGTGTGTGTGTGTGTGTGTCTGGCGCTCTTTAAGTCTGTCTGTGTGTGTGTGTCTCTCTCAGTCTGTCTGTGTGTGTGTCTCTCTCTCAGTCTGTGTGTGTGTGTCTCTCTCTCTCTCAGTCTGTCTGTCTGTCTGTGTGTGTGTGTGTGTCTGTCTCTCTCTCTGCGCCCAGTAATACTGCCACAGACACCAATGTTCGGTGAGGGAGAGAGAGCTATATCATGTTTGATACCACTCCATATCGCATTGTCTGAGTGTCTCAAAGTGCTTCACAGGATGTTTACTGTGAAGTGCAGTGACGTACGTGTATTTTACAGACAGCCAACAACAAAAACTTACTCTATTAATCACTACGCTGTACGGCTTCTCAGAGCCGATTCAATTTTGTGCACAGCAATGTTTCCTGAAACAGCCTTGAAGCAAAATGAGAGAGAGAGAGAGAGAAATAATAATAATAATAACTCCCTTCTCTGACATTGTAACATGTTTGCATTGTGCAGTTTCTACGATCCGGGGTTTTGCAATCGGTTCATTTAAGAAAAAAATAAAACGACGCTCTCAATAATAATGATAATAATCCTCGCATTTGATACGGCGCCTTATCACGTCGTGGAGCGGTCTCAAAGCGCTTCACAGGATACACTGTAATGTGGAGTGACTGTGTGTTTTGTGGGCAGCCAATTAAGAAAAGGAAGTGCAAGGTTTGTGTGGTTCAGTGCAAGGTGACACACAATTGCATGGGGTTTATATCTGATTTGTCTCTTTGTCTCTTGTTTATGTGTGCAATTGGCTGCCGTGTTTCAGCCACAAAATATACAGTCAATTCACTTTACAGTATATTCTGTGAAGCGCTTTGAGACGTCTCGAAGACACAAGAATGTGCTATATAAAATTCAAGGATTATTATATTATTATTTCCCGAGCATTAATCAAACGTATCGATCTTATTTCTACAGAAGGCAGAAAAGTTTTGGCTTTTTGTGCGTAGAACGTTGATGGGATTTAATTAAGTCTTTTAATTATACATATATAAAAATATATTTTAAGAAGAATCAACTTGTTACAAAGGGTGTTGTAATGAAACAAGAGATTTGTCTGTGTTTTTTCAGTCTGTGTCTGTTGGTTTATTTGAATGGGTTTAATTGAGTGACGAGAACTTATTACCTCAATTAGGAGAGTGGCTTTTAACAAGATTCAAAAACAAAGTGTGCGGAGGATGTGAATTAACATAATTGTTGTGAAAGATGAAATCTCCCTGAAAACAGCTGATCGACTGAGTAATCTCAATCCAACTCCTCCCTCCTCGCTCGTTCGTCACAAGAACTCGATAACAGCAATAAAATACACAGTCGCTCCACTTTACAGTATAGTCTGTGAAGCGCTTTGAGGCGTCTCGAAGACATGATAAAGCGCTGTGTCAAATGCCAGGATTATTATTATTATTATTAGTCGCTCGCCCCAGTTTTCTCAGTCCTGTTGTCAGGGGATATATTTATATCTTTATTTGTGTGAAAACACATCAATATTTTTGGCTTTATTTATTTATTTATTGATTGATTGGTTTATCCGTCTGTCAGTCCGTCCATTCGTTCGTGTGTTAGTTTATCGCTGTTGTTCTTGTATACCCAGTCACTCCACTTTACAATGCATCCTGTGAAGCGCTTTGAGACGTCTCGATGAAGTGATAAGGTGCTATATCAAATGCAAGGATTATTATTGTAAGCTAACTGTTACCAAGTGTAGTGACTGTGTGTTTTTGTAGGTGAATGCAGCAGCCAGCTTGCGCATTGGCAGTGTCCCACTAACATCTATGAAATAAATGAGTGGGCAATTGTATTTGAGGGATCGTCAGCCAGGAGGACACTGGGGCAGAGAGAGGGGGAGAGAGAGAAACTCCCTTCTCTTTTCCAACGGGGTTGACGAACATCCACCCGAGCAGCACAGACGGGGAACTCGGTTTAACGTTCCCTCTGAAGAACGGCACCTCTAAGAGCTCAACGCTCTACCTCCCCCTCCCCACATCCACCCCTGCCCCACACCGCCCCCCCTCCCCCTCCTCCCTCCCCCCTCCCAGCTCTGGACAGCACTGGAGCGACAGCCGAGACTGTGATCAGTGTAGGGCTCGATCCCATAACCTTCAGATCCAAGAGCCCTCCCGGCTGAGCCAGGCCGGGAGCTGGAATCTGCTGTGTGTGCGTTTCTGTTTTATGTTCAGCGCCGCTGCTTTGAAGTGACATTTGCTGTTGAGGAGACACATCCCCCCCCCCACCCCTCCACCCCCGGGGAATTAAAGGAAATATTAATTTAGGGTCAGAAGCCAATTCAGAGTTAGTTAAATCGCGGTCGAGCTCCCAGATTCTCAGCAGGTCAAATAAAACAACGCGATCAACAAACAATCCACCAGTTTGGGATTCCTCTTTAGGAATGATGCTGAGCTTGACTTTCGTGTGGGGTGGGGGAAGGGGGGGAAGGAGGGGGTTAAGGCAGAGAGATTGAGGAAGAGAGTACCAGAGTTTCGGGGTGTAGCGGCTGAAAGTGCGGCCACTGATGGTGATACAGAGGGACGTCAGGCTCTCAGAGGCAGCACTTGTGCTGATCGCTGTCAATTACACGGTTACTATTACTACTACCACTTGCATTTACACGACGTCCTTCACGCCGGGCAGCGACCCAGAGCGCTTGACAGTGGCGGAGTCTGACCCCGAGCCCTGGGGGAGAGGGAGGGGGAAGGTGACCGTCAGCACGATCAAGTCCGCTCAAAACCCACGAGCCAGACACGTAACCTGCCACTCTCCTCCGGCCCACAGGATGGTTCTCAAAGCTGCCGTGAAGGCGCTGTCTCAATCGCAAGGATTTGTTTGTTTATTTGCTGCGTTTACTTATCTTATCTCGTGATAACCTGGGGACTCTCTCTCTCTCTTGTGATTTAACTAACGGAATTCTGCCACTGCCGTGGCAAGGCGCGCGATAAAGATCTCCAGCGGCGCTATTCAAAAGAGAAGGAAGTTTCTCTCGCACGGTGTCCTGGCCGACAATTCCCCCCCCCCCCTCAATAAAACCGCTCGCTCACCTTGTGGGTGTTTGCGGGACACTCCTGTGCGCAAACTGACCCACGAAACACACAATCAATCCACTTCACAGTAAATCCTGTGAAGTGCTTTGACAACATGATAACACTGCATCGCTATATCAATATCAAAACGTTAGATCACTATATTACGATCACCTCCTCCAGTGTTGAACCATTGCGATTACAGAATAATGGCGCTGGGTGGATTGGCACAGGCGATTCCGACACACAATCCCAGAGAACTCAGACCTCTGGGGGCCTGCAAATGTTTTGTCTCTCCCCCAAATGTCCGATGTGTGCCCAATGGACGGTCCAAGGCTGGTTTGGAGCCCTGTAGCTCAGTGGTTAGAGCCCTCGCCTCGCAAGCGAGAGGACCCGGGTTGGATTCCCGGGTCAGGGCCAAACCTTGGGCAAGGTCGCTTACTCCACACGCCTCTGTTTACTGAGCTGCAAGTAGGAACCCAGTTATTAGTCGATTGGCGGATCGCTTTTCCATGAGTAAGAATTCTTCCAAAATAAATGATAATAATATTGGCTGCTGCGTTTCGGCCACAAGATATACAACAACAACAACAACAACCTGGATTTATGTAGCGCCCTCCACACCGCTCTTCACAGTAACGGATCTCGGGACCGAGCCCGGGGTGGGGTGGGGGGGGGAAGGTGACCAAAGGCGCGTTCGAAAAGAAAGGTCTTCAGCAGAGACCTGAAAATAGGAAGAGAGGGGGCGAGGCGAGGGGAGTGAGGAAGGGAGTTCCAGAGCCTCGGGGCAAAATATACAGTCAATTCACTTCACAATGTATCCTGTGAACCGCTTTGCGACGTCTCGAAGACGTGATAAGGCGCCGTATCAATTGCGAGGATTATTATCATTATTGTTATTGCAGGGCTGTGAAGCAAGCGGCGTCCCTACGGCTGTTTCCCCATAGCCCGATTGGCCGATGGTCCCGATGTAGAACGCACGACGTGGAGAAAAAAATATGGGTGAGTTTCTGCATCAAGTTGCCAGTCTCTATAATAATACAATATATTATCAATAATAATATTAAACGTCCTTGCATTTGATACCACGCCTCATCGTGTCGTTGAGGCGCCTCAAAGCGCTTCACAGGATACACTGTCAAATCTAGTGACCGTGTATTTCGGGGCCCAAACGCGGCAGCCGGTTCCACATGTGTCAGATATCCCGTCAACCGCGCCCCAGAAACCATTCTGTGGCAATCTCGCAAGGTGTCGTGGGGTGGGTGGGGGGTGCGAGGGTGGGGTTAGTGTAACAGGAGACAGGTTGGCGAGAGCTCACCACAGTGTGTAATAATAATAATAATAATAATCTTTGCATTTGTTATAGCGCTTTTCACGTCTTCTCGACGTCTCGAAGCGCTTCACAGAATAGACTGTAAAGTGAATTGACCGTATATTTGTGGGCGAAACTTGGCCGGAAGTTGCAAGTGGCTTATCGTTTTATGGCACGCGATGTCTGACCCGGTCGGTGCCTGTGCACGGCCTGGCTGCCCGCCCTCTGCCCCGTCAATACAGAGAAACACAATGCTGTCACAGATAAGCCACAGGCTTGACACCTCGTTGCGTTGAATAGGAAGTCGCTGCTAAATTAAACCTGCCCCGGGGGGGGGGGGGGAGTGGGGGGGAGGGGAGGGGAGGGGAAGTGGGGAAGAGGAAGGAAGAATGTGGAGTTAGTTTATTGCTGTGAGACACACATCACAGGATGGCTGCACAAGAGCTCTTGGAAGCCTAGAGCTTACCCCACAACTCTATTGAGCCTGTGCCAGCACTCGCGATCCACCCCCCACCCGCGCTCTGGAGCTCTGTGCTCTACTACCATTTACCTCCCCACCCCCCACCCCCCAACCCGCCCCTTGTTGTTACTATAGTGTGGAGTAAAGAAACTTGCCCAAGGTTTGCCCTGCCCGGGAATCGAACCCCAGGTCCTCTCGCTTGCGAGGCGAGCGCTCTAACCACTAACGTACAGGACTCCACATTGTATCAAGAACAAATGCGAGGATTATTATTATTAATATTATTAATAATCCTTCCATTGGATATAGAGCCTTATCACGTAGTTGAGACGTCTCAAAGTGCTTCACGGTGTATAGTTGTGAATTCACTGTGCATTTTGTGGGCGAAACGCAGCAGCCAATTGCGCACAACAGAGTCCCACAGACAGTTGTGGATTGAGTCACCAAATTCTTACAGAAAAAACTTACACACTCCTTTAATGCTCTTCCCCTTCGAAAGTTTGTGAGAAGGAAGTTTCTCTTCCGGTGTTCTGATAGCCAATAATCCCCCAAATGAGATCAAATTGGCCGTTTACTTTGCAGATGTTTGTGGGGATTTCGCTGTGCACCAAGTGGGCAGCAATATTTCGCCCGCAAAACCACAGTCACTACACTTTGCAGCAAAATCCTGTGAAGAGCTTTGAGACGTGCGTTTCGACGGCGTGAAAAGTGCCGTGTCAAAGGCAAGGGTTTTTATTAGGATTAATTAGGGAGCTGCAGATCGGAGTAATAATGATAATCCTTCAATTTGATATAGAATCATAGAATTATACAGCACAGGAGGAGGCCATTCGGCCCATCGTGTCGGTGCCGCTCTTTGAAAAGAGCTTCCAAATCAACCCCACTCCCCCCACGCTCTCCCCATAGCCCTGATCAACCCCACTCCCCCGCTCTCCCCATAGCCCTGATCAACCCCACTCCCCCACTCTCTCCCCATAGCCCTGATCAACCCCACTCCCCCACTCTCTCCCCATAGCCCTGATCAACCCCACTCCCCCACTCTCTCCCCATAGCCCTGATCAACCCCACTCCCCCACTCTCTCCCCATAGCCCTGATCAACCCCACTCCCCCACTCTCTCCCCATAGCCCTGATCAACCCCACTCCCCCACTCTCTCCCCATAGCCCTTATCAACCCCACTCCCCCGCTCTCTCCCCATAGCCCTGATCAACCCCACTCCCCCGCTCTCCCCATAGCCCTGATCAACCCCACTCCCCCGCTCTCTCCCCATAGCCCTGATCAACCCCACTCCCCCCCTCTCTCCCCATAGCCCTTATCAACCCCACTCCCCCGCTCTCTCCCCATAGCTCTGCAAACTTGTCTTCCCCAAATAATTATCTACTTCTCTATTAAAAGTTGTTACCGAATCGGCTTCCACCGGCCTTTCAGGCAATGCATTCCAGATCCCAACGACTCGCTGTGTGAAAACATTTCTCCTCACCTCCCCTCTGTTTCTTTTAACAACTATTTTAAAACCGACCCACACATCAGTGGAAATAGTTTCTCATTGTTCACCCTATCGAATCCCCTCCTAATTTTGAGTCTATTAAGTCTCCTCTGGTCCAAGGAGAATAATCCTCGCTTCTCTCGCCTCTCCCGATAACTGCAGTCCCTCATTCCTGGTACGGTTCTGGTCAATCTCCTTTGCACCCTCTCCAATGCCTTGATATCCTTCCTAAAGTGTGGGGCCCGGAACTGAACACAGGTGACTATCAATTCCAAAAAAATTCCAAAAAACATCCTTCTGAAAATTCACGTGGTTTTACCTAATTTAGATCAACAGAGGGCACTGCAGCTCTATGTACCTCAATCCCACTGTGTATCCCAGTGTTCCGGCCAACAATCCTCCAGATATAATCTGTCACTCACTTCATGGCTGTTTGTAGGACTTAGCTCATATACACAGTCACTACACTTTACAATCACACTGTTTCCCCCTTCTGTTGTTGCTATTGCTGTTGTTGCTATTGCTGTTGTTGTGGTTGTTGCTGTTGTGGTTGTTGCTGTTGTTGTTGCTATTGCTGTTGTTGCTATTGCTGCTGTTGTTGTTGTTGTTGCTGTTGTTGTTGTTGTTGACGGTTCTTTTCCTGCCGCAGGGGATTGGCTGCTTGTGTCGGGGGGCCGGGGGCGGAGCCTGCAGTGAGGCCACACCCCGGCGGCAACATGTACAGGAGGAACGGGCTGGCGGGCACCGTCAGGATCACATCAGCCACCCCCGAGGTACCCCCCCCACCACGCACTCTCTCACTCTCTCACTCACTCTCTCACTCGCTCTCTCGCTCTCTCGCACTCTCGCACTCTCACTCTCACTCTCACTCCCACTCTCACTCTCACTCTCACTCCCACTCTCACTCTCTCTCACTCACTCTCTCTCTCACTCTCTCACTCATTCTCTCTCACGCACGCACTCTCTCACGCACACACACTCACTCTCTCATGCACTCTCACTCGAGTACTCACTCTCACTCACACTCACTCTCTCGCTCACTCACTCACTCTCTCTCACTCTCACTCTCTCACTCACTCTCTCACTCACACTCGCTCACTCACTCTCACTCATTCTCACTCTCTCTCACTCACTCACTCTCACTCAAGTACTCTCACTCACACTCACTCCCTCACTTTCTCACTCACTCTCTCACTTTCTCACTCCCTCTCACTCACTCTCATTCAAGTACTCACTCCCTCACTCTCACTCGAGTACGCACTCACTCACTCACTCACTCACTCACTCACACTCTCACTTTCTCACTCTCAGAGACTGTCATAATCAGTGTCTGGGCAGATTTGGGTTGTATTCCTTAGCGCAGAAGAGAGTAACGAGAGGTGATGTGTATGGCTATTTCCCCCAGAGGGCACTGTTTATATGATTGAGTGACCAAACTTTTTTTTTGGAGGGATTATTACCCCTGGAAAGCGATCTTCCAATCGACTTAACAACTGGGTTCCTACTGACTGCTGGTAAACCGAGGTGTGTGGAGTAAGGAAACTTGCCCAAGGTTTCGCCCTGACCCGCCTGGGAATCGAACCCGGGTCCTCTCGCTTGCGAGGCAAGAGCGCTAACCACTGAGCTACGGGACTCCATTCCCCCCACCCACCCCCTTGAAAAAGTCTCCTCTCGGCAGATCATCGCACTCGGTCATCTTCTCATCGATAGCCTTCAGTCACCTTCTCTGAGAGATGCCATGTGATTACTCCCTCCCAGACAGACACACACAGACAGACAGACAGACAGACAGAGACACAGACAGACATATAGACAGACACGCAGACAGAAAGCTTTGTGCTGGTTTGTGAGGGTTTAAAGCCCTCTGTGTCGGACATCAGTCATTCCCAGTATGACGTTACTCCTTGTTGGTGATTCCTCCAGCTTCTCCTTGTAACTCTACCTCCTCCAGCAAGATACACATCAATCTTTCCCCATCAACACAAAATGGGTCATTGAGTTTGTAAGGTACTCGGGCTCAGGAAGCTCAAAGAGACGGAATGCGAAAGTATTTCCAACGTCGCAAACTACACTCCTGAGATCCTGATAAATATGATATGTAATCGTTTTCAAACTGAACATAAACCCAGAATATATCTGCACATGTAATCATATTTATATGTGTGTAATGGTGCGTGTGTCTATTTCCATCTGGTCATTGACGATCTGGTCTTAACAATCGTATTTTTGTATGTGTGTTGGCTTGTGCAAGTGATACTTTGTGAGTGATAGTTTGTGGCATTATTAATAATAATCCTTGCATTTGATATACAGCCTTATCACGTCATCGAGACATCTCAAAGCGCTTCACAGGCTGCACTGTAAAGTGGATTGACTCCGTTTTGTGAGCGAAACACGGCAGCCAATTGCGCACAGCAGCGTCCCACAAACAGTCGTGGATTGAGTGACCAAATTATTATTATTATTTTTGGGGCGGGAGGGATTAATACTCCAATAATTTGGAGCGAGTAATCACCTGTAAAAGATGTTTTGTGGTGCTAGGGCTCCGTAACCCTATCGCCCCCATTTTCGCCCGACTCCACTGGCTTCCCATCACACAGAGAATACAGTTCAAGATCCTGGTCCTCACCTTCAAAGCCCTCCGCGGTCTTGCTCCCTCCTGCCTCTGCGACCTCCGAACCCCCTACCATCCTGCTCGCTCCCCCCGCTCAGCGGTCTCCCCCACTTCGAGACACTCTGCCCCCATCCACTGGAACTCCATCCCACAGTCCCTTACCTCCTTCAAGACCCTCCTTTTCGACCGTGCTTTTGATCTCCCTGCTTTCCCCCCCCCCCCCATCCTCCACTCTCCCCTATCCCGACCCTCAGGAATCAGGCAGGTGAGAGGAGATGGGGCAGTGATTGATCCATTAAGCAGGAGATGTGAGTGAGATTGATTGCAACCTGGTACTTGTGTTTAGACAGGAGGCAGACAGTGTGAAGGTGCTAATGTTGATTGCTGTGCGCAGGTGAGGGGAGGGCTTTTTTAAGAAACATTTATTTGCATTTCGTCTGCTCCTATTCCTCACAGCGTTGTGATAAAACCTAATTACTGAGTCTCTCTCTACGACAATAACAACTTACATTTATATAGCGTCAGAGAACTGAGCCGGGCTGCCCTGCTAGACTAGTGTGTGCCGCTGTCTGTACTCCACGCCAGCCTCCACTCTGTTCCCTCTTCACTGTCTCTTCAGCAAATCTTCGCTGAGGATCACTTTGCTGTCAGGGTGAGCCGTGGCATTCTTCTTTGTTTGAGAAGAAGTGGCAGCAAACGGTGGGCAACAGAAATACTGAGCGTGTAGTGGCTGTGGGGAAAACATCCGATCGAGTAAAAAGGCGCATGCGTGTGTGGTGTGTGCGTGTAGTGTGTGCGGTGTATATGTGGGGTGTGCGGGTGTGTGGTATACCTGTGGTGTATAGGTTGTGGTGTGTGTGCCGTGCGTGTGCGAGCATTTGCGTGTGTGTCTGGCGCGTGTGTACAGTGCCTTGGGACATCCTCCCGAAGTGAACGGCGCTTAACCAATGTCATTTTGGATGGTATTGCACGATGACATGCATGTGGTGTGCAGGGTGTGTGTGAACTCTGTGCGTGTGCGCATGTATGTTAGTGACGTGTGTGTGTGTGTGGGGCGCAAGTGTTGGGGAGGAGGATGGAAGTGAAAGAAACAGCTGCGAGAAAAGGACAGGCAACACGATCAACTGGTTATCCATCTTCCGTCCCCCCCTCCCTAACCCCCAACCGCTGGTTGCTACTCCCTTAATAACTGAACTGGGAGCCGGTGACAGCCCCCAATCCCCCCTGACCCCACACTGAGAAAGATGGGAGCCTCGTGACCCCAGGCTGTTCTCGTCCCTCCAGCTTTCCCAATGGCTTCCTTCTCCCATCGCTGAGATTTGTCCTAATTTTTCCCTCTCTCTCGCTCTCTCCCTCCCTCTCTCTCTCTCGCTCTCTCTCTCCCTTCCTCCCCCCCTCTCTCTCTCTCTCTCTCACTCTCTCTCTGAAAAAATTAAAAGTTATTAAAAGTTTTGCTTGGAATGAAAAGGCTTTTACCCCATGGGGCTGCCTGCCTTGTGGAACGTGCCATCTGCCTGTGACTTTCCACGGTGTGCGTGTGCACGCGCGCATGCATACACGCACACACGACACACGTATACACACGCACCACAAACACCACATGCTCTCGCACAACACACACCCACGCACGGACACACAGACACTTTTTTTTAACTTGAATGGATTTTTTTCCCCACACGCACACAATTGCTGAATCGATTCAAATGTTCAGCACTGAGGTCGGTTGTCAGGTTGGGGTATCGAGGGATACGGGGCAAAGGCGGGTCAATGGAATTGAGGTACAGATCTGCCGTGATCTAATAGAATAGTGGAACAGGCTCGATCATCATAATAATAATCCTTAGATATGATACAGTGCCTTATCACGTCTTCGAGACGTCTCAAAGCGCGAATGACCTCCTCTTGTTCCTAAGTCCAGAGTTGGGGGTTGACCCAGTGTCGTGTGCTCGTTTGACGTCGTGTCTCTGGCTCTCGGTCTCTCCTCAGGGCAGCAGCAGCTCTGAGTCGCTGGATGGTCAGTGCTCGGATTACGCCATGAAGAGCTACGACGCGGTGGTGTTTGATGTGCTCAAAGTCACGCCCGAGGAGTTCGCTGTGAGTATCACTGCCCCCAACTGGGGTTTGGGTCCCTCTCTCTCTTTTAGGTCGAGGGCTGGATTGGGGTGGGGGGGGGGGGGGGGGGTTGTATATGGGGCCGAGGCAGAGCAGTGGCATGGAATGAATGAACCGACTCAGTATTTCTAATAATAATCCTTGCATTTGATACAGCGCCTCATCAGAGGTTTAATGTCTCATCTGAAGGACGACAGTTTCAACAATGCCACACTCCCACACCACCCCCCCCCCCCCCCCCTTTACTCAGCGATGCCCTGAAGTGTCGGCTTAGACAATGTGATTCCATGTCCAGACGTGGTGGGGCTTAAACCCACAATCTTCTGACTCTGAGGCGAGAGCCCCACCACTGTGCCAGGCTAAAACCAGGGAAAACCCTTCTGACCCCCAATGTTCCACTGACCGAGCTGAGCTGATGTGTCCGAGACTTTAATGGGGGGGGGGGGTGTTGACACAGCAGGAAAGCTCGCTCCCCCCCCCACTCTCTTCACACACGCACTTGCTCTCATCTCTTTCATCCCCGTCCAAGTAATCAGTAATGTGTTTGCCATCATCTGAATGCCCTGGGGTCTCAGCTGCGATGGGAAATGGTTTAAGAGTCTGTGTTCGTCTCTTGCGAAGGCAAACTTTGAAAACTTCCTCCCTCCCTCTCTCTTTTTCTCTCTCTCTCTGTCATTCTCTCTCACTCTCTCTCATTCGTGGAGTCCTATAGCTCAGTGGTTAGAGTGCTCACCTCACAAGCGAGAGGACTGGTTTTGATTCCCGGACAGGGCGAAATGTTGGACAAGTTTCCTTACTCTGCACGCCTCTGTTTACCCAGCAATAAGTAGGATCCTGGTTGTTAGTCGATTGGTAGATCGCTTTTCCGGGGATAATAATCCCTCAAAAAAAACACAATAATGAATTGGTCATTTCCATCCACGACTGTTTGTGGGACGCTGCTGTGCATAATTGGCTGCCGCGTTTCGCCCACAAATATACAGTCAATTCACTTTACAGTCTATTCTGTGAAACGCTTTGAGACGTCGAGAAGACGTGAAAAGCGCGATATCAAATGCATTATTAATTTCTCACTCTCATTCTTCCACACTCTCTCTCATTCTCTGTATCTCACTTTCTCTCACTCTCTTTCATTCTCTAACACACTCTCACTCTCTTTCATTCTCACTCTCTCTCATTCTCTCACTCACTCTCATTCTCTCACACACTCTCTTTCTCATTCTCTCTCTTTCATTCTCTCTTCTCTCATTCCCTCACAAACTCTCATTCCCTCACTCTCTCTCTCATTCTCTCACACTCTCTCTCATTCTCTCACACCCTCATTCTCTCTCCCTCTCACTCTTCCACCGAAACAAATGTTGAAAGCTGAGGGTTTATAAACGTGATGCCAGGGACTGAGAGGAGAAACGACAATGAGGACACATCTGTATGCAATCGGACGGACTGATCATTGTCACAGATGTACATCTCCCACCAAATCCATCCTTCTGCACTGAAATGCCATTTTCACTCTGGTCCATTTCCAGCCTTTGTTGTTATTGATGAGCTGTTTCATGTCTCCCAACCTTTGTGCAAATGCGAAACCCTTCCAACGTATGAAATAGTTCTTCCATCAATACATTAATCACTGGTTGTGGCATTTTTGACTTTTGTTTTATGGACAAACCCGCCGTTCCTCAGAGAGACTAAATTCCCCCTTAAATCTCTTTCCAAACCTTTTTACTGTCGGCCCCAACTGTCTGTCTGTGTGGAAAACCGATCTTCTTTAGGAGACTATTTTATTTTCGCTCTTCAATCCCGTCGATGTGCGGGGATTGAACAGGGCTGAAATTCACGGCAGGACATATTTGTCTTAAAAAAAAGGCAATTATTTTGGTGTGTTTTAACAGAATTCCCGCTTTTATAAGTTCCCATCACTACAATAATCTGCTCTCGACATTCTTTTAAGTCCCTGACCCTGAGCCTCAGTCTATTCTCGTGATGACACGAACCATCTCTTGCCTCTTCTCTTTGTTCAAACCTTTTGTGAATCTAGAGAGCAAATATTCCAAAACATGGTGAAACTTTCTCTCTCTGACACTATTCCATTCCTTCAGCTTCCTCCCCCCACCTCTCCCCCACCCCCAAATAAAATCAGCCGCTCGTTTCATGGCTCGTTTGCCTACAAAATACACACAGTCACTCCACTTAATGGCTGAGAAGCGCTTTGAGACGTCCTTCCGACGTGATAAGGTGCTAAACCAAATGCAAGTGTATTATTACTACTTACACTGCTGTGAAGCTCAGCTGCGCTATGACCTGGGGCTTGTGATCCCTGTTTATGAACCACAGAGATTTACAGCACAGAAAATGGCCGTTTGGCCCATTGTGACCCTGCGGGGTCTTTTAAAAGAGCGATCCTTTCATAGAATCATGCAGCACAGGAGGAGGCCATTCGGTCCATCATATCCGTACCAGCTCTTTGAAAGCTGTCCAAATGAATCCCACTGCCCCGCGCTCTCCCAATAGACCTGCGAGTTTGACCTCCCAAAATATCTATAACTCTTTCAGTCCTATTTACCTACCTCTTGCCCTGCTCCCCAAACCCCATCCTAACGGACAGTTTATCTTGATGTGTACGTCATATATAAAGGGGGAGGATGTTAGCAGTGTGGAGTCTGGGTATCACTAAATCCAAATGGAGCCAAAAAACTAAAAGTTATAATTCTCTTGTATTACAGAGCCAGATTACGTTAATGGACGTCCCAGTGTTTAAAGTCATTCAGCCAGAGGTGAGTTAAAGGGTTTGTACTCGACACTTCTCTGATGAGAGGGATCTTGGACGGGGGAGGAGGTGGGGGGTGTTGGGAGGTGGTCTGTTTCTGGTACATCTGGGTGATGTTCCATTGACCATTCATCCCTAAACCTGCCCCCCCCCCCGTGCCCATCTAAATTGACCCCCACTATTTGCCAATTTATGCTCGAACTTTATGTTTATGCTTGAACTTTATCGTTGAACTCTTTCTTGCTTGTGAGTTCATTGAACTTGTGTTGTTTTTTGATGGCAAAATAGTTCCTTCCTTTCTTCTTATAATAATAATAATAATCCTTGCAATTTATCACATCATTGAGACGTCTCAAAGCGCTTTACAGGATATACTGATTGACTGTATTTTTATGAGCAAAACGAGGCAGCCAATCACGCACAGCAGTGTCTCACAAAACAGTCGTGGATTAAGTGACCAAATTATGATTATTATTATTCATTTATTTATTTTTTGGAGGAATTATAACCCCTGGAAAGCAATTCACCAATTGACTAACAACCAGGTTCCTACTTATTGCCAGGTAAACAGAGGCGTGTGGAGTAAGAAAACTTGCCTACGGTTTCGCCCATCTTGGGAATCGAACCCGGGTCCTCTGGCTTACAAGGCGAGCGCTCTAACCACTGAACTACAGGATTCCTTCCTACCTTCCCGTTAGAAGAAACTAAGGCACAGTTCGAACGAGGCCCTGTTGTATTGCTCACCGCGCCCTCTCGTGTTTCAGCTGGGAATTGCTAACCAGCCAAAGACTGGCTCTGCCAACCAACTACCCAAAGACCAATAAAGCTCATGTGGAAACCCACTGGGGGAATGTATAATTGCAGCTCATGCCTTCGTTGGTTGGTTGCTTGTCATCTGCTTGCAATCTTGCAGATAGGAAATTCCCTTTATGCGTTCTGTATGCCAGGACCTCTTGCAGAAATAATTTGAACTTTGGAAACACTGGGATTAATTGACCCAAGGCTTTAATCTTCGCCTTGTACCAGCTCCACAGCTCCGTCTTTCTGCTACAGATCATTAACTTCCAGGCTTTGCCGTTTAGCTGCATAAGTGACCACCGCGCTCGCTGGCTAATGAGCGAAGAGGCTTTGGAGAGATGTTTTGACGTGATAAGGCGCTAGAAAAATCCAACTAGTTTCTTGTAAACACGCAGGATAAACACAGAGCTGCCATGGGAAGAGACGGGAAAAGACATTGTTTCCACAACACTATAAACTCCTTTCCCCCCCCCCACCCCCTCCTCTCCCCCAACGGGCCACTGCCTACCTCACTGTGAAAATAACTCCGTTATTCAGCTCCTCAGGGCAGCCTTTCTGACGTGAAAGCCGCTATATAAATGTAATTTTGCTGTTGTTTTTAAGAAACAAATTCCCTCGGCAGTGTTGGGAAAGAGAAAGGAATCTCTCCCTATGTGTGTGACATAAAGGAGAGAGGAGAAGGGGGTGGGGGGGAGAGAGAGGGATGGGGGGAGAGAGGGGTTTGGGGATAAGAGAGGAGGGAATGCACTGATTGCTCAATCCTGTCGTTAGGATGTCCCTTCACTTGAGTCAACGTGATGATTGAGCCTTGACAGGACCATCGCATTTCCTCCTCCCCCCCACCAAGTGGGCTATATACAGAGAACAACAACTTGCGTTTACACAACAACAACAACAACTTGGATTTATATTGCGTCCTCCACGCAGGGGGCAGCGTCACAGAGCGCTTGACAGTGGCTGAGCGGGGTGGGGGTGGGGGGGAGGAGAGGGGTCAAGGCAGGAAGGGACTTGAAAATGAGCGTGAGGGTTCCTGATATCGCTCTGTTCGGCAAGAGGGAGCCGGTGGAGCCTGGCTAGAGCTGGTGCGATGGGGAACAGCGTACTCGAGTGGGCGGGTGGGGGTGGGGGCGGTGATCTGGGCAGCTAAGTGCACGTGGAGTTTTTTTTGTTAAAATAATCATTTTCGTTTCCCGTTATGTGATGAAGCCATCACTCAGTCCTTTACAGGAAAGCTGAGCTCGGGATCCAGCACTATAAACACAGGCACAGTTTTTGTTTTATTTTCCGAGGGTTTCAGTGGTAAGGAATGCTGCAGGATTTTTCCCGATGTTCCACATGAGCGGCCTGGCGCGTGGTGCCTCTCCCTCCGCCATCTGCTGACGCTCGCCTTTTCCGATTTCGATGGCAACGGGTGTGGAAAAGAGAGAGAGAGGGGAGGGTGGGGGGGGGGTAATGGCTGTGGGCGTCAGAAAAACCTCTCCCCCCCCCCCGGCTCCAAATCGGCCTCAATGCACCGCTAATCATGGTGATGGGGAGGCGGGGGGTGGGGTGGGGAGGTGCAGCATCAAGGGGAGACGGTGGCTCCCTCACTCACACCCCCCCCCCACCCCACCCCTCCACGGCCATAGCACCCCCCACCCCTGAGAACGTGCCTTTGAGTGTAAGCGGGGCGAAAGCTATTGGCTTTGCCCCCCCCCCACCCCACTTGCTCACGCCTGTGCCGTTCACATACGCTCGCTCGTTTTTAACCCCCTCCCCCCACAAACGAAACCAAAAGCATATATGTGCTAATATGTGTGTGTGTATGTTTCTCTGCTTCCTTCCTCTCCTGATGGTGCTTCGCTCATCACTTCCCCTTGCTCTCTCTCTCTCTCTCTCTCTCTCCCTTTTTCTCTCTCTCTCTCTCTCGCTCACACACACACACACACACCTGCCTCCTACAGTTTCTCTGGTAAACCACACCATTTGGCACACGGCAAACAGCCGCGAGGTGAACGACAGTCAAACCCGGAGGTTTGTTGTCCAGGATACGGGCGAGTGGGGAGAGGGAGGGTGGGGGGCCGGGGGAGAGGCAATCTCCTCCCCTTTACCTGTATCTTACGGGATCTTTAATTGAACGTTCACCTGAACAGGCAGACAGATCCACAACTTAACGTCTCTTCTGAAGTACAACGCCTCTGATAATGTTTTTTCTGTCAATCTCTCCCCCTGTGCTCCTTCCTCTCTCTCTCTGCCCCCCCTCCTCCCCTTCTCTCTCTCCCCCTCTCTCTCGCTCCCTGCTTCCCCCTCTTTCTCTCTCTCTCTATCTCTCCCTGCTTGTCTCACCCAACTCCAGTCTCTCTCTCTCTCCTCCCCCCCACACCCCCGAACCAGCCGTGCTCTGTCACGTCAACCTTGACCCATGAGCTGAACATCCCAGCGTGGGGGTTGATGCCAGAGCCAACACCACCAACAACAACTTGCATTTATACAGCGCCCCCTCACGCAGAGTAGCGTCCCCGACCCAGTCGTGCCAATGCCACGTGTGTGCGAGTGGATGAGCTCCATAAAGAGAGTTGTAAGCTCGGGGTTAGGAGCGTTGAGGGGGGAGGGGGAGTGGGGGTTAAGTAAAAGAGCAAAGCTTTCAGAGTGGAGCCCAATTTATCGTTTGAATATACCTTTTTTTTAATCAAAATGATTCTTTAGGGAAACGTGCTTATTGTCTGGTTGACCTGCCGCCAGCATCGGAGGGTTTGTTGTTTTTATTTTTGCACCTTTTGAAGTCCCGGCGTTCGAAGGTTTCGATTCCTCAGTGTCGAGAGGTCTCCTCGGGTCCCGTTAAATAGCTTTTCCTCCCGCTCGCCTCTTCTCTCCTCCCTTCTACCTCTTCCCGCGTGGCCGCAGTGAGCTACCACGCCGTAAATAATTCTGCGCTTTTCCTTTTGTTGGCCACGAGAATGAACCTGTGCTGTTTTATGCTAAGATTCTTAAGCGTATTCCTTCACCCCAGTAGGGCTGTAATTTCAGAAGGAGAAGGAAAATAAAGGGGATCGGGTTTCAAGTCAGACCAGAGAGCAAGATAGATGTACATGACTGGGAAACAGATTTCACTTTACTCCCCCCCCCCCCCCACCACACACCGCACCTCGCTTTTCTTTAAAAATTGAGTCCCGTGGTGTAGTGGTCAGAGCACTCGCTTCACAAGCGAGAGGACCTGGGTTCGATTCCCAGGCGGAGTGGGGCAAAACCTTGGGCAAGTTTCCTTATTTCGCCCGCCTCTGCGATCATAGGAACCTGCTTGTTAGTCAATTGGCTGATTGCTTTCCAGGAGTAATAATCCCTCCCCCCCAAAAAATAATTGGGGCACTCAATCCACGACTGTTTGTGGGGAAACTCCAGCGACGTGAAAGGCACTATGCAAGTGTAATGTTGTTGTTGTTGGCGCAATTGTGCTGCTGTGTTTCGCCCACAAAATGGACAGTCAATTCAATTTACAGTGTATTCTGCGAAGCGCTTTGAGATGTCTCAAGAACATGATGCGCTGAATGCAAATGCAAGGATTATTATAAATATATCCGTTCTTTGTCTCTTTCCCCCTCAAGCCCCTTCGCAGTCTCAAGCTGATGCTCCATTGCAGTGCTGGGGGGGGGGGGGGAGAGAGCATTGTGTGAATTGTCAGAGGCGCCACCCTTCGGAGGAGATGTTACACCTCGCTCCCCGTCTGTGCCCTGAGCAGGCGGACATTAAAGATCTACTGTGGCGCTACTTGCAAAGAGAGTTTTTCTCTCCTGAAATCCTGGCCAACAATTCACACATAAAATTAGTCATTCCCATCACGGCTGTTTGCGGAGACGTTGCCGTGGGCAAATTGGCTGCCACGATCCTACGTTAAAATGCACAGTCGCTACACCTGACAGTATAATAATCTCGTGAAGGGCTTTGAACTCATCCTCCTGGCGCGAGAGGCGCTGAAACAAATGCGAGGACGATTAATATTACTCTCTTATTTATTTATCCAATGAGTCCATGCAAATTCCTGAGCAGGAGATTCAGAATCTCTCCCATCTACTCACTTATGAGAAGGAACATGAGTAATGTGTTAGTGATTTCATGACCTGAGCATACATTTCCACTCGCCTGTGTTTGCAGTGATCCGTTCAACCCCCACCTTCCCCCTCTCCCGCCGCCCCCCCCCCCCCCCCCACCACTACACACACACACACATGCAACACGTCCGTTTAAAAAAAGAGACCACACAGCCCAACTGGCTCGTTTTCAGTGAACATCATTTTTTTTTATTTCATTTCATTTATATTTTAATTTAAAAAAAGAAAGAGAGGGGAAAATTTACACTGGCTTCCAGCAACATTTCATAAAGTGCTTCTCAGTGGAACGGAGCAAAAAAAAAATGAAAGCAGATTAAATTACCATGTCAAAGGACGTAGCGTTTTGAAAGCTATAATAAAAATGGCAACATCTAATGGAAACCAGAATGACTTTGGCTCCTGGCTTTGGCTGAGTTCAGACATAAAAAATGTTCATGGAAACCAAATGGAGGCATTCACTCGCGAGCCACAGCAAGTTCCATGTCTCCTAATCCATCCCATTCCAAACCCTAATTCGCAAAACTTTATAATCTGGGAAAGCAAGGATATCCGCTGGACAAGTTTCCTTACACCACATGCCTCTGTTTACCCAGCAGTAAGTAGGAACCCAGTTGTTAGTTGATTGGCGCATCGCTATTCTGGGGTTAGTAATCCCTTCAAAAATTAATAATAATAATAATAATTCGGTCACTCCATTTACGACTTTTTGTGGGACGCTGCTGTGTGAGAGGAAAAAAACATACGTAAACTTAAAGCATGCGTCACAAAGGAAATGAATACAAGGTTTCACCGAACTCTCCTCACTTGTGGGTCATTCGCACACGGTTTGGGGCTGTGTTTCGGGGAAGGGTTTGTGTTTGTGTGTGGGTGTTGTGCAACTCACATTGTAGTGATCAAACCTAGCCAACGAATGCTTGTAGGTTTGGACGTGAATCACTTTTGCTCTCTCTCTTTCCTCTCTCTCTCCTCTCTCCTCCGCACGCTCTCTCCTCCTCTCTTTCTTCCTTGCTCCTCTCTCTCTGCCTTCTCTCTCTGTCGCTTTAGATCTCTCTCCTCTCTCACACTCTCTCTCTCTCTGCCCGTGAAAAATTCCTGAAGCTCCAGTGTGGAGCCAGTGTGTTAATCTGGGAGGCATTTTGGAGCAGGGGAGGGGAAATATAAATGTGGTCGGGTGTTGATAGTGTCTCGGGGTGAGTAGGATTTACACAAAGACGGGGTGGGGGGTGGTGTGGAGTGACCGCAAAGCATCAAGTGCCAATAGATTTAATGGTTTCTTGATGATTTGGCTCTGTTTCCCATAAGAACGAGGGGGTTTAATCTTTGGTTCTGGAAATCTCATTAGTTGCAAGATTTCTGGTCTTTTTTTTTTGCCCTGTTCCTGTTCCTGCTCGCAAACGTTTCAATCAAAGTGTTTAATCTCGGCAGCAGGGACGTTTTGCTGTTGTCGGAGATGTCTGCATGGTTAGTTTCTCTGTGGTCCCAGCTCCTTGTGGCCCCGAGTCTCTGTTGCGGTTCGGGAAGATGATTAAAGAATGGGGCTTGGGGTGCGTTGGGAGGTTGTGGTCGCGGCCTGGGTTCAAGTGGAGTAATTCCGTGGGTAATTAGAGTTGAGGTACAGATTAGCCATGAGTTCATAGAATGGTGAAACCGGCTCGAGGGGCTGAATGACCTCCTCCTGTTCCTACGTTCCTATGAAGCTGAGCTGGGCAAACTGGCCAATTTGTAGTGATTTACTCAATGAAGATATCCGACCCCATTGTAGAAAATCTTTCTCTTGAGCCACTCATTGCAATCTCCTACCTCCCCACCCACCCCCACACCTGCACAAGTACCTGTTCCACACTCTTCACAATAACGGCAAGAGGAATAGATTGCAGAAATCCGTCTGCGAGACCTTGTCTATAGTTTGCACATCTGGTCTGCACGGTGTCTGTGCTGTTTTCACAACACACTACAAATTTACATTTATATAACGCGCTCTCTCTCTCTCTCTCTCTCTCTGTCTCTCTCGCCTCAGAAGCTTGTGGGTTCAAGCCGCACATCTTAGTCTAAGGTGACGCTCCAAAATAGTGCTGGGGGGCGTTGCATTGTTGGAGACGCCGTCCTTCAGATGAGACGTTAAACCAAGGTCCCGTCTGCCCGTTCAAGCGGGCGTTAAACAACATTAACAACAGCAGCAAATCACATTTGTATAGATCCCATCGTACTATTCGAAAAGAGGAGGGAGTCTATCTCTCTCTCCTGGTGACCTGACCAACAAACCCCCAAATAAAATTGGTCACTCACTCCACGGCTGTTTGAGGGACTTTGCTATGCACAATTGTGCTGCCGTATTTGCCTACAAATATACACAGTCACCCCATCGCACAATAATTCCTGCGAAGCGCTTTGAGACGTCCTTCCGACGTGATGAGGCGGTACAACAAATGCGAGGATTATTATTAAATGCAAAGATTATTATTACTATTATTAAACCAAGGATTATCATCACGTTTATATGTGTGTGTTTCAGGAGCTATCCAGCTGCGGGTGGAATAAAAAGGACAAACATATCCTGGCGCCAAATGTGGTTGCATTTACAAGGAGATTTAATCAGGTGAGTAAACAGGGAGGGGTGGGGAGGGGGTGATGGTTTCCAAGACCAGAGATTTCTCTGCAGGCTCCGGCCTGTTCCAAGTCCCCCACCCCACCATCAGTGGTCGGGCCTTCAGCCTCTCTGCCCACACCCTTTGGAACTCCATCCCACCCCTCGCTCGCTCCCCCTCCCTTGCCTCCTTCAAGGCACGTCTCAAAACCCTTCTCTTCGACTCTGCCTTCGTTCACCCTCCTAACCCCCCCCACCCACCCTGCCCTCCACTCCTCCTGATCCCAACCCCCAGCTCGGGTCCAAATCCCTGACTGTCCAGGGCCTCAAGACGTCCTCCCGACGTGAAAGGCGTTGTGTAAACGTCTGTTTGTTGTTGTTGTTGAGGACGAAGCTAACTCGGATCTCGTCTCCCCGCAGGTCAGTTTCTGGGTGGTACGTGAAATACTGACAGCGCACACACTGAAGATAAGAGCCGAAATTCTGAGCCACTTTATAAAACTAGCGAAGGTAGGAAATATTGACCGAATTTCCCTGGATATTGTGGTCTGTGTTTGGTTTCCCTTCCCAGGTCATCACATCGCATCCCGAAATCTCTCCCACCTCTCCCCACACACACACCCCCACCCCCAAAAAAACAATGGAGTCACTCAATCCGCAACTGTTTGTGGGACATTGCTGTGCGCAATTGGCTGCCGCGTTATGCCTCCAAAACACACAGTCAATTCACTTCTAGAATATACATATTACGGTCTGGAAGGGGCTGGAAACAGATTCGATAACGACTTTCAAACGGGAATTAAGCAGGAAACTGGAAAAGGAAACATTTGCAGGGGGTTTGGGGAGAGAGTTGGGGGGGGTGGGATCGATTGGGGAGCTCTACCAAGGAGCCAGCACAGGCACGACGGGCCGAATGGCCTCCTTCTGTGCCGTAGTATCCTATGATCTCACATCTTGTGAAGCTCTTTGAGACGTCTCAACAGCAAGTGGTAAGGCACTGTATCAAATGCAAGGCTTATGATTGCAATTCTCTCTTGCCATGTCTTCCCTTCCCATCCCGTTCTGTTCCGTGCCAATCCTCCCTTCCAAGAGTAGTTGGGGAATGGCATTGGAGAAGGAACTCTGAACAGTGCAATGAGCTGCCCGACAATCCAACCTAATAAATTCAATTGGGAGCGATTTTACACTTGGAAGCCAGGTCAGCGGTTGTGTTTGTGAAGCTTTTAAATGTGTTTGTTGTACCGCAGCCACTCAGAGTTCTGCTGGGCTTTGTCTGGAGGAGACGAGTTGTTATTAACATCACTCTCCATTTCCAGAAGTTGCTGGAGCTGAACAACCTGCACTCCCTCATGGCTGTGGTCTCGGGCCTGCAGAGTGCACCCATCTTCCGGCTGACCAAGACCTGGGCGGTGAGTACCTCTCTGGTTGGCTTTCTCCTCCTGCGCTGGGCCAGCTCACTGGCCCATAGCCAGCTTCACACTCCCAAGCGCTCCACTGCGCTGTCAACTGCCAGCGATCTTAGAGATCTCTCTGTGTGTGTGACGTATTGTGTGTGTGTGACTTACTGTGTGTGTGTGTGTGAGACTTACCTACTGTGTGTGTGTGTGTGAGAGACTTACCTACTGTGTGTGTGTGAGAGACTTACCTACTGTGTGTGTGTGTGAGACTTACCTACTGTGTGTGTGTGTGTGTGTGTGTGTAACTTACTGTGTGTGTGAGACTTACCTACTGTGTGTGAGACTTACCTACTGTGTGTGAGACTTACCTACTGTGTGTGTGTGTGTAACTTACTGTGTGTGTGTGTATGAGACTTACCTACTGTGTGTGTGTGACTTACTGTGTGTGTGTGTGAGACTTACTGTGTGTGTGAGACTTATCTTCTGTGTGTGTGTGTGTAACTTACTGTGTGTGTGTGCGAGACTTACCTACTGTGTGTATGTGTGTGAGACTTACCTACTGTGTGTGTGTGTGTGAGACTTACCTACTGTGTGTATGTGTGTGAGAGACTTACCTACTGTGTGTGTGTGTGAGACTTACCTACTGTGTGTGTGTGTGTGAGACTTACCTACTGTGTGTGTGTGTGTGTGTGAGAGACTTATCTACTGTGTGTGTGTGTGAGACTTACCTACTGTGTGTGTGTGTGTGTGTGTGTGTAACTTACTGTGTGTGTGAGACTTACCTACTGTGTGTGTGTAACTTACTGTGTATGTGTGTGAGACTTACTGTGTGTGTGTGAGACTTATCTACTGTGTGTGTGTGTGTAACTTACTGTGTGTGTAGTGTGTGTGTGAGACTTACCTACTGTGTGTCTGTGTGAGACTTACTGTGTGTATGTGAGACTTACCTACTGTTTGTGTAGTCTGTGTGTGTGTGAGACTTAATGTGTGTATGTGTGAATGCATGCCTAATTTACTATGTGTGTAGAGATTAACGTGTTTGCAGAGTGAGTACAGGCACTCAATCCACGACTGTTTGGCTGACTCTGCTGTACGCAATTGGCTGCCACGTTTCGCCAACAGAATACATAGTCACTACACTTTACAGTATATGCTGTGAAGCGCTTTGAGACGTCTCAAAGACGCGATAAGGCGCTGTATCAAATGCAAGGATTAATATTATTATTAATGTCACTAAACTTTACATTAAAATCCAGCAGTGAAACTCTTTGAGATGTTGTCATGGCTTAAAAAGACGTTGTATCAAACGCAAGGATTATTCTTATTATTTATTATTTATTGCTGTTTTATCTGATGTCGAAACTTTGGGGTCCTGTAGTGTAGTGGTCAGAGCACTCGCCTCGCAAGAGAGAGACTCCGGGTTCGATTCCCGGGCAGAGCGAAACCTTAGGCAAGTTTCCTCACCTCACACACACGGCTCTGTTAACCCAACAGTAAGCAGGAACCCGGTTGTTCGTTGATTGGCGGATTACTCTTTAAGTGGTAATAATCCCTTTAAAAAGAAATAATAATTTGGTCACTCAATCCACGACTGTTTGTGGGAGGCTACTGTACGCAATTGGCTGGCCACAAAGTATACAGTTAATTCACTTTACGGTAAATCCTGTGAAGCGCTTTGAGACGTCTCAACGACGTGATAAGTCACTGTATCAAATGCAAGGATTATTATTAATATTTTTAGTTTAAACTTTGGGGATCTCTTTCTCTCTCTCTCTCTCCTGGTAAAAGTCCCAGTGGCCAGAGACTCTATTGAAAGCTGTTGAGACTAAACCACATCTGGGTGTGTGTGACGGGAATGAGAGCAATAAAAGGCTAAATCTAAATATTTTTAAAATATCACGCTGCAAAACTGCCTAACGCTTGTGCAATCTGTGACCGATAAAGTGAGGCAAGTATTGGGAGGGAAAGGAAGAGCCAGGCATTAAGGGTTAGTGTTGGAGGGGGCAGTGTTGGGGGTACTGTGCTATGGTCAGTGTTGGGGGGTCAGTGTTGGGGGGTCAGTGTTGGGGGGGTCAGTGTTGGGGGCGGTCAGCGTTGGAGGGTCAGTGTTGGGGAATCAGTGTTGGGAGGGTCAGTGTTGGGGGGGTCAGTGTTGGAGGGTCAGTGTTGGGGGGTCAGTGTTGGAGGGTCAGTGTTGGGGGGGTCAGTGTTGGGGGGTCAGTGTTGGGGGGGTCAGTGTTGGGGGGGTCAGTGTTGGGTGTGTCAGTGTTGGGGGGGTCAGTGTTGGGGGGGTCAGTGTTTGGGGGGTCAGTGTTGGAGGGTCAGTGTTGGGGGGTCAGTGTTGGGAGGGTCAGTGTTGGGGGGTCAGTGTTGGAGGGTCAGTGTTGGGGGGGTCAATGTTGGAGGGTCAGTGTTGGGGGGTCAGTGTTGGGGGGGTCAGTGTTTGGGGGGTCAGTGTTGGAGGGTCAGTGTTGGGGGGTCAGTGTTGGGAGGGTCAGTGTTGGGGGGGTCAGTGTTGGAGGGTCAGTGTTGGGGGGGTCAATGTTGGGAGGGTCAGTGTTGGGGGGGTCAGTGTTGGGGGGGTCAGTGGAATGGAATGTGCACCCCCCCCTCTCTCTCTCTCTCTCTCTCTCTCTCCCCCACCTCTCCCCCCGTAAGAGGGACACACTCCGCTTACCTAAAACCAGAGAGTTATTAGGCACAGTTTGGCAAGAGCCATGGATAGGGTGGGGGGGGACGTGTGAGAGAGAGAGAGAACATTTTATAATCAAATAAAACGGTTTATTGAGGCAAAGCGAATGAGGCAACCGAGCTGTTGTTGTTGACAGATGCTTGTAAACCTAACTAACTGCCTGTTAGCTTGTAGCCTGCAGTGGGGTTTGAGTGTGTGTATGTGTGTAATGGGGTGGGTGGGGGGGGGTTGCTTGGTGGGGTGGGGGGAACTGCCAGCAACTTACTCGCTGCTGAGGTGACGATATTGCTTCTCGCTCTGCGTTTGGCAGAGCTCGGACACAATCCATCAGCCACTTTTTGCGGCCCGAGGAGATCCAGCAGACATGACTCAAAAGTGTAGCTGTGCCTGAGAGCTGTTAAGCTGCTAATGGAACATTCCCCTGGTCCTACATGTTTGTTGGCTCCTCTTGTAAGAGGACGAGGAAGGAGTGGGGGGGTGGGGGGGGGGGTGCGGGGGGGTGCGGGGGAGAGGAGGGAGAGAAAAAAGAAGCTAATTTCTTTTTATTTCATTGGGTTCAGATGTACACTGAGTCACCATCTAACCTCTCGGACAGCCTGGAGTCCTGTAACCCCGTGGGCTTGTTTTGGGGAAGGATCCCAGTGAAAGGCGTGAGAATAGGAAAATAGGAAAATGTGGAATTTGCTGCGCTCTACATCAATGACCGTTACTCTGTGTGTGTGTGTGTGTGTGTGTGTAACTTACTCTGTGGGTGTGTGTCTTTGTGTGTGTAACTTACTCTGTGTGTAACTTAGTGTGTGTGTGTGTGTGTGTGTGACTTACTGTGTGTGTAAAACTTACTAAGTGTGTGTGTGTGATTTTGTGTGTGTGTAACTTATTCTCTGTGTGTGTGTGTGTGTGTGTGTGTGTGACTTACTCTGCGTGTGTGTAACTTACTCTGTGTGCGTATGACTTACTGTGTGTGTAAAACATACTGTGTGTGTGTAACTTACTGTGTTTGAATGTACTCTGTGTGTGTGTAAAACTTACTGTGTGTGTCTGTGTTCTGGGGGTGGGTGCGGGGGAGGAGGGAGGAAAATAACACTGATCAGTGGCGCTGTCTGTTTAATAAACAGCGGTCATCGGCAGACAGCTGGGACTGAGACGTTCACTTGCCCTGCGTTCCGCTCTTGTCTCGCTGCCTCGCTGTCTCTGGAAATATTCTGTTTACACTTTGTGAATTCCACGTAGCACGTCACGTACAACACCAACAAGATTCCCTTTACAGAGCGCCTTTCACGTCAGGAGGACGTCCCAAGGCGCTGTACAGTTGTTCCAAAGTTAATTGACATACCTCTGTCAAACCCTTTTCCCCCCCCCAACAAAGCACACAGTCAATTCGCTCGACAATATACTCTGTGAAGCGCTTTGAGACGTCTGAACGATGTGATGAGGAGCTGTATCAAATGCAAGGAGTATTGCAGTGGCGTCATTGTGTGCTACACAGGCCTGGGCTGGTGTCCCCACCCTCTCGCTCTCTCTCGCTCTCTCTCTCTGGGTTGCATCAGTTCCACTATTTACTGTGTCGACCTGATGCTGACCCCCCCCCCCCCCCCACCACCCGGCAATCATAATCCTTATTACCTGCCACGTGCGCCAGAAGCCGTGCCCCGTGTATTAATTCAGGGTGTTTTTGTTTATCGTCACAATTCCAGAGTTAATTAAAACCGTGTGAATGAGCCGCCTTGTCTATTCTCCATGTCTTTTCTTGTTAACCAACAAACTCGTTAACCACTGTACTCGGCCCGCACACACACACACACACACATACACACACGCACCCACACACACACACACACACACACACACACACACCCACACACACACACACACACACACGCACACACACACACACACACACGCATACACACACGCACCCACACACACACACACACACGCACACGCATACACACACGCACCCACACACACACGCATACACACACGCACCCACACACACACACACACGCACCCACACACACACACACACACGCACCCACACACACACACACACACACACACGCATACACACACGCACCCACACACACACACGCATACACATACACACACGCACCCACACACACACACACACGCATACACACACGCACACACACACACACACACACACGCATACACACACGCACCCACACACACACGCATACACACACGCACCCACACACACACACGCATACACACACGCACCCACACACACACACGCATGCATGCACGCACACACATGCACACACGTACATACACACACGCACACACGAGACTAGAAGATAAT